GAAGAAAGATCATTCATCTCTGTATACCACTATTATAAATTTTTTTGTTAGTGCTTTAATTCTAGTTATCAATATCATATATATTATTGAGTATTCTAGTTATCAGTGTCATATATATTGTCAGTACATACATTATCGACATTATCAATATTTATCTTTTCAGAAAACAAAACATTTCAGTTTCTAAAACTTTTTAATGAAAATTCACGTTTAACAGCTTTTAAACTATTTTTATAATCTTTTGCATAGTTATTAGTAAATGTGTTTTAAAAAAAATAAAATCAAAACACGATCTTATTATGTATATATATATATATATATCCGTGGATTGGAGATTTCAAAATCTTCATAGACCCAAAAGCTAACTCCAGTTACATCCAAATATGTAACTAATCTATCCAAATAGCAAGGTTAAGTGTCTAGGGAAGTATCTTGGCCTACCTGAACAATTCGGGAGAAAGAAGAATGACTTGTTCACTGCGGTGGTAGACAAGATCAAACAACGAGCTGCTAGTTGGACCACCAGATTCCTATCAAAAGCAGGGAAATTAACGATGCTTAAGTCAGTCTTAACGGCTATACCTACCTACCCGATGTCATGTTTTGAGCTACCAGTAAGCTTATGCAAAAGGATCCAATCAGCCCTAACAAGATTCTGGTGGGACGACTCTGATTCAAAACGGAAAATGTGTTGGGTCTCATGGGACTCTCTGACACAACCTAAAGCGGACGGAGGCCTAGGACTCAGAGATATACAGGTTTTTAATCAAGCCTTGCTCGCTAAAGTGGCGTGGAGAATAATAACTGTACCCGACTGCCTACTCTCTAGAGTTCTTAGAGGTAAATATTGTCACAGTAAAAGTTTCTTAGAAGCAACGGTACCTGCATCCTGCTCACATGGCTGGCGAAGCATCCTACATGGGAGAAACCTCCTCAAAACAAACCTGGGAAGAGCAATTGGAAACGGTCAAACAACAAAAATATGGCAGGATTCCTGGATCTCTTTGTCTGAAGATGTCAAACCATTTGGACCTATCCCTGAGGAGGCGTTGGATTTACGAGTATCCGATTTACTTACTACTGACCTTAAGTGGAATACCAAAAGGATTAGTGAGCTGTTACCTGATCTTGGGAATCAAATACAATGTCTTAGACCAAGCCAGCAAGGAACTGAAGACATCTACATATGGAAGAAAACACAATCAGGGAGGTATTCAACCAAATCAGGTTACAATGCAGCTAAACTGGGAAACAAACAGAACCGTATGGATCCAGAGTCTCATTTCGACTGGATCAAAGATATATGGAACGGAGCTTACTCACCAAAGCTTAAGGTGTTCATGTGGTCAGTCATTAAAAAGGCAATCCCTTTAGGCGAGAACCTACAAAACCGGGGAATAACATCAGATGTCATCTGTCCGAGATGTCAAGAAACTGAATCACCAATGCATACATTTTTCTTGTGTCCTTTTGCACAGAAAGTATGGGAAAAAGCCCCACTCCACCACGCGATTCACCTAATCGCAGACGACTCCTTCGAATCGGCCCTTCACAAACACCGCAAAGCTACCTGCCTCCCCCCAACAGGAGTCTCTTCAATCCTCCTTCCGTGGATCTGCTGGACAATCTGGACATCAAGAAATAAGCTAATTTTTGAAGACCAACCGTCAAACCCAGAGGAAATCTTAGTGAAGAGCATCAAGCTAGCTAGAGAGTGGAACAACGCTCAGGTTTCTTTACCTCGCCAGATGGTACCGACCCGGGAAACTACACGGAGACAGACCCACGTGGAATCAGCATCAGCGTCCCCAATTACATGTAAAACCGATGCTTCGTGGGACAAAACGTCAAAAAAAGCAGGACTAGGTTGGATTTTTGCAGGACCAGAGGCAAAGGATCACAGACAGGCTTTGAAGCCCAGACCCACGTTTCGTCGCCTTTAATGGCAGAAGCACTTGCGGTTAGATCAGCAATGGCAATGGCAATTTCATTGGAGATCCCCGATCTGCAGGTGCTCTCAGACTCAACAACGCTCATTAGAGCAATACACAATGAAAGACAGGCAAAGGAAATCTTTGGAATCATCCACGACATCCATCAATTCT